CACCAAGAGCTTGTAACACTCCAAAGAGAAAGGAAAAATTGAAATCGCATCATATGACCCCTTTAAAAGAAAACTCCAAACATCACAAAACTATGTGAAATCATGCATTATATGATTCTAAACAATCATGCAAAATTGTATGGAGATTGGACACAAACGGACACTGTAACAGTTATGAAGGTTAAAAACAGTACATATCTATGCTTCATTTACTGAAAGTGCAAATACAACCACTAGATGCAGCAAAGGATCACTCATTGGCTCATTCTATCACTTATATAGTTCTTTTCTCAGGTTTTGTTAGGTACTGACATTCAGATAGTTTAAAATCATAAATATTACATTTATAATCACATTTAGTCAAAGTTTACCACTTCATGCCACACATCAATTATGCCACACTATGATTACATTTAAACCTGAAAAATATTATAAACAGGACACTTCCTTTAAGCATTTAATTGCCTGTAAGTTATTTCAAATATCTATATCTACAACATAATCTGTGTCTGTGTGTGTATGAAAAGGTTCCCGCGGTGCGAAAGGCCCTTAGTCAAACTTTAGTCAAAGTTTACCACTTCATTTAAACAGACATCAGTTTTCACAATTATGCCACATTAGGATTAAATTTAAACCTGAAAAATATTATAAACAGGACACTTCCAGCAAGCATTTTATTACCTGCAAGTAATTTCAAATATCTATATCTACAACATAATCTGTGTCTGTGTGTGTGAGCATGCTTAGCCTCTATTAAGTAACAGAGTGTGTGTTAAGTAATATAGTTCAACCTTTTCATTACTCTGTGTGTGTGTGTGTGTGTGTGTGTGTGTGTGTGTGTGTGTGTGTGTGTCATGATATTCTCCATCATGGATGTGTTCTGGTGTCAGCCATACATTTCACGTTGGCTGAGACCCCAGACAGCAGAGAAGCCATGAAGGCCTTTAAATGCTTGAACCCCGGTAATCGCTGCTTGCAGCTATATTTATTATTATTATTATTACTATTATTGCTGTGAAAAGTGTATTATCAACTTTTGTGGAAACAGTCCTAAAACTTAAGGATTTGAATAGAAAGTTCAAAAGTAAAGTGACTGGAAATGGACATGATCGGTTCAAGGTTGCCAGGTTCATGCAGGTGTTTAGACATAAAACTTTGTGGCCATGAGAAAAGGATGTTCCCTCAACACAGGATCTTGACATACAGATGTTGTTACATCGACAAAATGATCTCGTGGCCACAACCTTATGTTCCCACAAATCAATATGCTGCGTAGGGCTGTCACGATTACTGGAGTAAATTAGAGTACTCAATTTTAAGAAAATCCTGTTACTTTGTAGTGCATTGGGTATTGGGTAAAATGGTCAAAAAAACAGCAAAATCTATCAACTGTGCAGGAGCAATGCTGTTGTCTGTCATCATTTCAGAAATGAACTCCACAACAGCACATTTTACTGCTGCAGCATATGAAAAGGTGACATCCATCTTCCACAGATCTGCTGCCAGACACAGCATGCTGAGTTCACTCGAAGATTTACTTTATTCATTTTAATCTTGACTTGCAAACTCACGTTAAGCACAAGTCCAATATCGATGTCTATGATGTGCACTGTGGAAAAAAAACTTGTAGTATGTAGAGTATTATGTATAAATTCACACTGCATTGTTTTTCTAGCGCCACCCGTAAACTTAAGACATTGTAATTCCAAATTGGCAGATTAGTATTCCTTCTGATTTCATAAGGTTGTCATAACTCGTGCCATGTTTCCATGTTTACTCTACACAAATCAAAGAATTATAATCACTGTAGCATTTCATAAAGCCTTGGTCAAATTTTTAATAATGAGTGACCGAACAATTCATATTACACATAGTTTGGCAAAATGTAATAATTATCTCCTGGCAATATTATGCACTAACATAACTATTCTAAGGCCGTTGGCGCCCTCTGCAGATTATGCTGAGAGAATTTCACCTTTCAACATAATCATGAATCTGCAAAATTTGTGTAATGCTATGACTAGTCAATGCATATTAAAGTCACAAATATTATCCAATTTAATTCTATTACAGTTGTGTTACAGCCTAATGTGTATGACACGCATATGAAATAAGACAAGATAATTGGCAGATTACTCGATTACCAATATAATCACCAGTGACAGCCCTAATGCTGTGGCCTCAAAGCACTATGATGTTCCCACAACTTACACACAGCCACGACAAAACGAATGAACCAAACATGTCCCTTCTCAGTCACCGTACAAAAGAACAGCATTTATTTGAAACCGAAATCATTTGTAACATTATAAATGTCTTTACTGTGTCACTTTTGATCCATTTAATGCATCTTGCTGAATAAAATTACTAAAAATAAAGTAAAATAAACAAGTCCAAAATTGGGAATGGTAGTGTAATTATTTACACTATGATACCACAATTCCACAATACTAGTTGCAACGGGTTGAAGTAAAACGTTAAAAGTAAAAAGTAATTAAGATGCATCTGAACACCATAATTATAATACTTTCCTACCCCTTTACAGTTAACCCTAATATTGTCATCAGATTTTCCCCTCCTGAGAGCAAGGTGTAGAACAGTGGTCTTCACTATTTATTTATTTTTTTCATGAGAGCCACACTGATAGGACAAAGTCAATAGGAGAGCCACTTTTTTTCGCAAAGTATCAAAAGTTACATCCAGTCATAAACAGCATGTCTGCTTATCGATCGGTCATCCCTGAGCATACAATATGCAATGCAATATAAAGCACATTCGGCGTTAAGAGCTGGAAAGATTGTCAAAACTGGCAACTCTGCAGTGAGTCAGTGTCATGGACGTAAGGGCAGAGCAAGTTTAAATATCTTTTCTGGTCTATATTTACATTTTGTAATGCCACTGTTTATTATTTATTAATATAGGCTACTGTTAATTATTGCTTATTTTCTAAAATATAAATGATTTGTAATTGAGCAGAAGACACTCACACCATGTGTCGCGCTGCGCTGGAACAGCTAAAAGTCTGTCTACACTGGACAAAGCGAATAACAAGCGAATAATAAAGCGAATAATAAAGCAAATAACAAGCGACAAAAAAATCATTTGAACATTGTGTCCATCAAAAATAGAACAAGGCATCAGTTTACTGACGGTTTAGACAACATCACTGATTATAATGGGTTTTATTGTATTTTCTCACGTCGCGCCACTCACGTCCGGCGTAGACACGGCGTGAGTTTTTTTAATGAGTTATGTTATAGCCCAGCTTGTTTTTAATGTTTTTATGAAATATCTGTATTGACTGCATGATCATATCATCGTATTAACTGCCATGCGAGCCACAAATTAAAGCTTGGCGAGCCACGCAATGAGTAACACTGGTGTAGGAAATGAAAGGTCAGCAAACTCACATCATTTGGAATGGTCAGTTCATGAGAGCCTGTCTGTGCAGTAGCGTCCATACCAGCTGCAGAACAGAGAAACACAATCACCATCAGCCAATGAAAAGATCAGACGCAGAGCAATAGTGTCTGAGAGACGGGATTTACAAGTGAAGCCTTGGCTGCTGGGGGCCAAAGGAAAGGGACTCTGCTGCATTGCCAACTGGTGGAGTTTAGTGAGCTGCGGAGACAGAAAACAGCATGCCAAGATATTTAACAGTCAAAACACTACATTTGTGAGTGCTCTAATGGGTTCAGACCCTTCTGTGTTACAGAGAATTGAGAAAACATAAGAACCGTCTCTTACATCAGGCTGAGGAATGGCATGTTGTCCCTGCACCGCATATGCCTGCAAAACACACGTTTGTCTAATCAGATTTAGCTTCAATAAGCAACATTGTTTTTAGCTCTATGAACCAATTCAGCTCCTCATACTCAAGCATCACAGGGATGTTAGTGTGTATAATTAGCGAGCAACTGAGGATGTTTGTGAAGGTTCTCAGCACCAGAGGAAACAGAAAGCGCCCTGAATGGCTGAAGTCTGCATTTTTGCAAACAAGGTTTGCCAGGTTTGCGTAACAAAACCGGCCCAATTGGTAATCAAAACTACCCTAATCACAGCCAGAACTAGCGCAATCGCGTTTCAGGGGGAAATGGCTATCAAAATCTTTAAAAAAATAATAAAAAAAGTATAAAAAATAA